CAGATGTTCTTGGACTACAACTCCCAGAAGCCTTCACCACCACCTCTGCTGGCCAGGATTTCTGGGAGTTGAAGTCCAAGAACATCTCGAGGCCCAAGGTTGGGGACCACTGGTATATTGTATAGTGTTTCCCAATCCAGGGGTTGTAAGCCACAAGGGGGCTGCAAAGCGTTTTCTAGGGCGTCACAGTTCACTTTATATATATATTGTAGCCTCTGTTAAATAATTTCTTCCTTGACCTTTTCGAGCAGGATATTAAAGTTAGTGTGTATGTGTTTGTATGAGAAACAGACTCTTAGGGGGTAGGGGAGAAAAAAAGCCTCTTCTTTCTGAGAAGTATTTTCCACAAGCACTTCTTCATTGTTGTTGTTGTTGTTTAAAGAGAAATGGCAGCATAAAACTATAATTGATGCCAATTCCACAAAGGTGGGTTTTTAGCTATGATGTGTCACTTCAGGAGAGCCTAAAGAAGGGGAAGAAAAGGAAAAAGACGACGTCCCTAGGATTGGAACAGAAAAAATAAATGATAAAGAAGAGGAAGAAAAGGAAAAAGAAGACGTCCCTAGGACTGGAACAGAAAAATAAATGGCCTGCCTCTTCTGCAATGGGTGCAAGGAAAACGTCATGCCCGTTTCTGAAGGGGATCCTCTTTACGTGAAGGTCTTGCCCCCTCCCTGGGTACCACAATGTCTTGCCACCCTCCTGGCCCATCTTTGAAGTCCTTTGCCTTCTCTTCTCCCTACCTTTAACTTGCCCCCTTAGCCTGTTCCCTCCCCAGTTTTGAAGTAGTGGTAGTGGAGTTGGAGGCAGCAGAAGTAGGAGGGTGATTAGCATCCGCATTAACGGTGCCACCATGTCCAGGAACTACAAAGACAACCTATTTATTCAAATATGACAGGGGGAGGAGTCACAGGTTACTTGGCTATTATAAAAGGGGTCATTAAGGAACCATTAAGACAGAGGGATGGAGTAGGACTCAGAAGGCCCAGGTTCACATCCCTCCTCAGCCATGGAAACACAATGGGGTGTGGAATTAGTAAATCCACTCCTTCAATGTCTCACTTGCCTATTAGGGTTTCTATAAATCAGTTCTGACTCGACAGTACATAACAATAACGACAGCTGCCAGCAAGAGACTTCCCTGTGAGTGCACACAACTGGGTGCTTCAGGTTCCTCCGAAGCCTGGCAGATGCCCAACCAGGACGGGCTATGTTCTGGAAGGCTGAATCACTTAGCATTTGCTACTCTTATCCTGGGACTCCTTTCCAGAGTCAACATCAGCCCTACAAAGAAGACCAAAACTCAGCTGTAAGTAGTGCCAAGGTCGTGGGAAGGTACCACACTCAAGTCATTGAGCACTAGATTTAGGGCCAGGGTGTTCCCGACTACATGCTAGAAAGCATAGGTGGTGGTTAATTTTTATTTTTATTAAAAATAGGGGAGGGCCAAATTACAAAAGAGAAAAACTTCTTTTAAACGGGTAAACGAATTCCAAGAAATAAGAAAAATCTACATTGCAATGTTCACAAGTAAAGAACACCCAAACATAAAAAGCTGACTAGTCTTTCCTGCTTGAGAATAAATCGAACCAAATTTCTAAGCTAGTGTGGAATATGATTCTCACCAGTAAAATGACATGTTGAAATCTCACTGTATGTGGTCCCCCTTTGCTTTGATCTAGCTGCCCTGTTTCCCTGAAAATAAGGCCTAACCTGAAAATAAGCCCTAGCATAATTTTTCAGGATGCTCCTAATATAAGCCCTACCCCCAAAATAAGCCCCAGTTCAGTGAAACATGGTATTTAACACACCAGAAGAAGATGACATGGCTGTATTTGAATAAGTGTAGATTGTTGTACATGAAAATAAAAATAAAACATCCCCTGAAAAGAAGGCCTAATGCATTTTTGGAGCAAAAATTAATATATTATATTCGGGGAAACATGGTATTTAACACTCGCCACCCCTTTCTCAAATGACAACCCTTAGCCAATCCCTTGGATTTTCTACCTGAATGGCCCTGAAGATCATCCGTGCGATTTTTATTGCTCACTGAGCACTCAAGGCTCGGCTACCTTGGGTCTTTTTTAAGGAGGAAGGAAGAGATAAAAATATTTTAAACAAATAATTAATAAACAATACATCATTTACTGCCCATTTCTCAAAGGACCAATGGAACCTGGGCTCATTTCCTGTATCTCTAGATAACCAGATGGCTCTGTCATGGGAACCACCATACCATGAGACACCACCTCCAGGATGGATCTGCTCTGGGTTTTTTTTAGCCATTACACAATTTAAACTATTGAAATAAAAGGGAGCTATGTGGTCCATACAAAATACAAATGCAAGAGGAAGCGATACCTTTATAGACCACTAAGATCATTATACAATACATGAGCTTTCATGGATGAACACTACTTCCTCGGGCTTGTAGATGTATTAAAGTCCAAAGGTTTATGGCATGACAGATTTCACCAGGCATGTATTTCATAGGTGCAAATCAGGAGAGTTGCAGGAAACAGTATCGTGGCTGTTTTTAAATTATAGCTGAGGGGCTAGTGGGTTGGATATAACCCCAGTTCTTGAAGCAAAAAAATACAGGTCGTGCGTGCCGATTAAACTAGCTCGTTAGCTTTTCCTGTCCTGGAGAGGTCTCACTTTGTCACGGTGACACATACTTTAGTTACAACACAGCTGAATTACTGTAATGTGCTGTATGTGGGGGTTACCTTTGGAAAGTGTTTGGAAACTTCAACAAGTCCAAGTGTAGCTGGCAGTTTGCTGCAGCCTGAGGCGGTCACAGAGATCACATAACCCCCTTATTACAACAACTCCATTGGATGACGATCCTTTTTCGGGCACAGTTCAAAGTGCTGGTTCTGACCTATAAAGTCCTAAACACCTTTGGCTCAAGCTGTCTCAAGGACGACTTCTCCCTTTATGAGCCTGCTCAGGTGCTAAGCTCCTCAGGAGAGGCCTTTCTCTTTGTTCCACCATCTTTATGGCTGCATTTGATAGGGAAACAGGAAAAGGCCTTCTCTGTGGCTGCTCCCGGACTCTGGAACTCCCTCCCACAGGAATCCGGGCTGGCCCCATCTTTGTTGTCCTTCCGCAAGAAGGTGAAGACTTTTCTCTTCCAGCAAGCTTTCCCTTAATGGCTGCCTGCCTGAGTGAGGTTTTTTAATGGATTCTATGATTCACAAGAAAATGAGAGTGGACAAATGAGGAGAGACGGAAGAAATCAGTGGCTGTGTCAGCTGGAAAACTTACTGCTTTGTATGTGTTTTTGGTATTGCTTTACTATGATGTTTATTTGATCCTTTTTTAGTATTTGTATACTAACAGCTCTTTTGCTTCAAAAACAAATTTTAATAATGTAAGTCACCTTAGGTCTTTCTTAAGAAGAAATGCAGGGTAAGAATACTCTATACACACACATAGATACTACTCACACCTCAGTGTTGTTATCTCTGTCAGAATTTGTTCACAGGATCAAATATTAAAACCCATGAACTGTTGGCTACCAAGTACTGTTCAATGTTAAGTACCACATGGAAGATGGAGCAGTTTGTTTTTTTCAGCTTCAGAGAGAAGGACTTGAGATTATGGACCCTGATTACAAGAGAGATGTTTTAGTAGTAGATTTCCTGAACTGCACCTCTATGATTCACAAGAAAATGTGAGGGGAAAAATGAGGAAACACAGAAGGGATCAGTGGCTGTGCCAGCTGGAAAACTCTGGGAAGTGTTGGGGAAAAAAGTACATTTTCCAAGCTGTGTCGGCCACCGCAGGAGTCAGGATGTGACACGAGATGGAACTTTGGGTCTGACACCATTCCCCCCTGTGTCCCTGGGATGGTTCAAAGGAGGCTCCAGGGTGAAACAACTGGAGGAACAAAACTGCTTCCCGCACCCAAACATTAGAGTCTTGTCACTTCCAGGATAATGTGGCTTTTCCTCTCTTTCTAGGAAAGGAAGACCTACGAGGAGCTGAAGAAGGAACTGAGAGATGCCAACAGCGTTGTCAGAACCACAGCTGTGAGTTGAAGGCTTGCTTCCCACAGGGAGAAAAACAACCCTTGGGTAACAAGCAGGGCTCCAGTCAGGCAGAGGTCTTGGGCAGCCGCTTTTCTGCACTCTGAAAGGGCAGCCAGTGTAAGCTTTTGTTTCTTTCTGACAGGATGGGGAGAGCTGATTATGGGAACTTCTGATCCATGTGTCAAAATAATTTGCTCAGCGCTGGCTGTACTCCTTGAGCTGGGCAAGTCAGGCAGGGCGGCCAGTGGTCGCTCCACCAAAAGTACTGTAGATATTTCACAGGCCCTACAAAGCTGGCAGGAGAAGTCCATGTCTAGAGGAAACAGCCTCCCTCCAAACCAGTCTTTGCCCATCTAAGACTGCATTTTCTCCACCGACTAGAAGCTCTCCAGGGTCTCAAGCAGAAAGCTTTCCACGTCATTTGCTCCCTAAGCTCCTTTTTCAACCAAGCAGTGAGTGTGGGACCTCACTGCCTGGTTGAAATACACACAAAGCATATTTCTTCTGTCCCCGAGCTGTGGTCCCTCTCCTTTTGTGTCTCTGTTCCAGTATCTCTCAATCATGAGCCTTCTAGATATTTTGGACTTCAGCTCCCAGAAACCTTAGCCAGCATGGCCTGCACTCAGGAATTCTGGAATCAAACCTGGAGAGCAAAGAGTTTGTTTGTTTTATATGCTGCCTTTCTCCTGATAGTGGTTGAAAACCATTGCCCCGCTGGTTACTTCCCACATGACCTTAGAAATCAATGCAGTGGTATCACTGACCAGTGCTGGTTCACTTCCGCTATCATGTGGGACAAGATAAGCAAAGTCTTTACCCTATATAACTGCCCATCGGCCCCAATCCCATAACTATCTGTGCTTCTTTTGGCTTTGTTGCACAGAACAGCCACTTCCAAACTCGGTTGCTTAAAGACTAACAAGGTTTATTTGACTTAAGCTTCCAAGGCCTGCAGCCTGCTTCTTGGATGCAGAACAATTTATTTGTGCCAAATAAAACTCTTGTTTTCCTTAGGGTGTCCTGATATTCCTTTCTCTCTTTTTGGCAATAGCCTCAGAGCAACGTTAGCAGATGTTACTGCCTCCCACCCACTGAGTCCTGCAGCATAGGTGTGAGCCTCCCTTAAAAAGCAGGAGGAGAAGCTGCTGCCCTTCCCTCACTCAAAAACTGGAGAGTGAATAGAGCCGGGAGGCATTGCCATTCATTTTCCTAGCGCTTAATAGGAGATCCACCTTTAGATTTCTGTGCCTTCTAGGTTTTGGTACCATAGGGTAAAGCCCCAGTTGTTCCACCTGTGTTCCACCTCTCAACAGTCTAACATGGTCATCGATACTCCAGAAATTATTTAATTCATTAAACCATTAAAGGCAAAAACAATAACAAAAGAAAAATAAAAAACCAAGAGGACAAACATGTTGTGGCACCTTGAAGATTAACTGCTATATTTTAATGTGAGCCTTCACGGACCAATCATGGCTTTCACAAACCATTGATCTCTTCTATGGGCCCAACGTATCTATCCGAACAGAGGAAGCTGCCTATTGTGACTCTGTGAAGGTAGGAGTAAACAATGGCTTCAGAATGACTTCCTCTGTCACTTTGCCTCATCTCTGCATCTGGAATTACTACCTTATATGGTCAAACCCAGTGCAAAGAAACAGCAAGATTAACATGCCCCACACATATAAAACAGTGGTTTGGAGCCAATACAGGGACAAGAATCCTGTGAGGATGGATAGATCTCACTCATAAAAGTAACACTTTTGGGATCCAACAGAAAGGCAAGTTGCATATTGCTATTTGCCTCAGTGTTGCATATCACTTGCATAGTGTTTCTCTTCACTTCTGGATAAAGGTGAGCATCAAATATTCCAGTTACAAGAAAGAGTGGATTAGAATCTGCTATCGTGACTGCATTTAAAAAGTTGCTTTTTCTGCTTAGGATCTGGACAACGTATCCCTTGCCCCCAAACTGGGGACTGTGGATGGCAGCAGCAATCATCAAACCTACCCTCTAGAAGTCCTTCTGTCCAACCAAGAAGAACTACCTGAAGATGTGGATCCTGCTAAGAAAGAGGTCGGGTCTGCTAAGCCAATCATTTACTGCAGGGCTGAGAAAGGCATAAGTCACTGTAGTAGTAAAAGTCGTGATGATGTGCCATCAATTCTGACTTATGGTGACCCTTTTCAGGGTTTTCTAGGTAGAGAATACATAGAAGTGGTTTATCCTTGTCTGCTTCACTCATGTCTTCAATTCCCTGTCCTTCCTCTATTACCTCATGTCAGATTTCAGACTGTGTAGTAGACCCTTCGGACAGGGACCAGTTCTCTGTAAAGTGTTATAATGAACACTGAGGGCACTCTGTAAGAAAGACATTGCCCATACACAGTCACTTAGTAACTATTTTGATATGGCTCAGCATTCAAGCTGGTAAACCATCATTTATTAATGTATTTAAAATATTTTACCCCACTTTCTCCTAAGAAAGGACCCAAGGCACTAATCTGTAATCTCAAGTAGTATAATCAGAAACAGGTTTACTATCTTATCTATAAAATGTGAAAACCAGGCTATAGCCGGGAATAAGCCACTCTGGAAGCAATTTTATGATAATTTCCTCACTTGAATTCCACAGAACTCTTAGCTAGCTTGGGTGGGAAGACACACACACACACACCCATTGCCTAAACTTTCTTCTTCCCTTACTCATCTGAACACCGCATTCCTCTCCAAACAGAATTTCCTGTCAGATGAAGACTTTCTGAGAGTATTTGGAATCCCCAGAGAAGAATTTGCGGCTTTCCCAACTTGGAAACAGCTTCTCATAAAGAAAGAAAAGGGACTTTTCTGAAGAAAAATAATGTCGGCTTTCTAGATGTGGCAGAGGCACCTATGGTTGTTCCCAAGCTATTTGGGGGCCTGCCCAAAATCCAGAAGCAGCTTGGCTTACAGCGGGAGTCTGTGTATTCTGCCTTCCAATGCTACATCCTCTCTGTGCCTACTTGTGCTTTGAATGTTGATTTCATGTATTTTACTCAAAGCTGCTGCTGCTCCCCAGAAAGTTAATTTTTTTACATATTCCTTTTATTTCCTTAATTCACTTTCACACCAGTTTACAGAAGTGAGAAAACTAACCTGCGTTAAGACATTGTTGCTAAGGCTTGAGAAAATATAGTGATAGCAACTGGCAAAGATCTACTGTATTTCTGCCTAAGGGAAGAGCAGTTCCCAGAGATCTGAGCCATATGAAGACTGTTTTTTTTTAAATAACTGTACTGATGATACAAATATTAAAAAAGGGCTTGCCAAGTTCTACCTGACACGCAGCTATTCTCAAGAAATCCTGAGACTTGTAGTTTTCTATATAAAAGAAGTATTACAGTATTAAGAAATAAAGGGTATTCTAAGGCAGGGGTTGGGGAACGTGTATCCATTTGGAACATGATGGACTACAATTTCCATTATCTTTGATAGCCATACTAAAAAGGCCTAATGGGAGCTGTAGACATAAAATGTATAGAGGTCTAAAAGTTCTCTTTCTACCACAGTTTCAAGGTCATGTGCACAAACCTCAAAATTTTGGAGGCCCAAGTTTTTTATTCAACACTCTTTTGCCTAATGGGAGCTGTAGACATAAAATGTATGGAGGTCTACAAGTTATTTCTACCACAGTTTCAAGGTCATGTGCATAAAACTCTTCTGTGTGATTGTTCTGGGTTTTTTGGGTTCTTTGGCCGTGTTCTGAAGGTTGTTCTTCCTAACGTTTTCGCCAGTCTCTGTGGCCGGCATCTTCAGAGGACAGCAACTCTTTTGTGTGCTGGGCTGTTTTGGTTAGCATTGGGTGCCCCCCCCCGCAACATGTTGGTTAAGGGCAGATGTGAGGTGTACTCTGCTTGGCATGGCTTCTTACTGCACGTACAAGGGTGGATTGAAATAAAATTCCCACAAGCGGCTAGATGCTAGAAGAAATCTAATCATCTGAACATATTCAAACTGCTTGCCTTTTCTCTCTTCCTCAAACTGCATCCCAAAGGAAGAGGGTATCACTTTTCAGTATGCCCATCTGTTTTTGTGAAAAAACTTTCAGAAATAAAAAAAAGTTCCAAGCAAGTTCAATGCAGAAAAGTCAAGCTGCTTAAAGAATACCTACCTACCTCTGCCGATGGGACAGGCTTTACACCAACCAACCAGATGTGTACACCCATGGTGCAGAGAACAGAATCATAGAATAATGGAGCTGGAAGGGGCCTATAAGACCATCGAGTCCAACCTCCTGCTCAATGGGAGGAATCCAAATCAAAATATATCCAATTAATAGATGGTTGTCTAATTTTCTCTTGAAAGCCTCCAGCCCTAGAGCACTCACCCCCTCCCAAGATATTTGGCTCCATTGTTGTACTGTTCTAATAGTTAAGGTTTTTTTTCTGATATTCAGCCAAAATCTGGCCTCCTGTAACTTGGGCCCATTATTACATGTCCTGCATTCTCTGCTCCTCCTTATACAAGTCATTAATAAGAATGTTGAAGAGCACCAGGCCCAGGACTGAGCCTTTTTGTAGCTCACTTGTTCCCTCACCCCAGTTTGAGGAGGAGCCATCGATAAGCACTCTTGGAGGATGATTCATGTAATGAACTGTGTTATCTACCAGACAATTGTTCTATCTAGCCCACACCTAGTTAAGCTTGCTAATCAGACTGTCATGGGCGCTTTGGTAAAAGACTTCATTGAAGTCAAGGTATATTACATCTACAACATTCTCACTTTCTACCAGGGAGGATACCCAATCAAAAATGATATGTGTCTGGCAAGATTTCTTCTTGACAAATCCATGTTGGCTTTATTACTATATTGCTTTCAGGGTACTTGCAAAGTGACTGCTTTATAATCTGCTCCAGAATTTTCACTGGGATTAATGTCAGGCTGACTGGCCTTTTGTTCCCAGGTTCCTCCCTTTTGCCTTTTTTTGAAAATAATACATTAATCCTCCTCCAATATTCTGCTACTTCACCCATGATAAGAGTAATTCTGAAGGTTCTTCAGCCAGTTCGTTCAATACTCTTTGATGCAGTTCATCCAACCCTGGAGATCTGAGCTCAGGAGGGCCATAGACTATCTTTTGGGGAATGGCCAAGTGAAATTAGGAATTTAGCACTTCTGCCTTTTGTTGTCTGTTATCGTTTTTCCATCCCCAATGAGTAGCTAAGCCACTATTTTTTTCCTGTCTTTTCCTACACATGTACCTAAAAGATGCTTTTTTGTTGCTTTTAGGATCTCTTGCTAATCGCAGCTCTTTTTCTACTAGTCCATACTCTTCCTTTATGGCCTAGTCTTCCTTCCACCTCCTACATGTGTCCTTTATTATTTTCAAGTCATCTCGGAACTTTTTGTGAGGCCACATTGGTCTTTTTTGCTGTCTTCTATTTTTTCTTGTTTTTTTTATAGTTTTGCACTTAGAATTTCATTTTAAATAACTCCCTGCCACCCCTTGGACTCCTTTTCCTGTTAGGATCTGTTGCTATGGGACCTTTCTTATCACTCTTCCAAGATTATTAAGACTGGCTTTCCTAAAACTCAGCATAGATTTACAGCTGCATTCTGGTTCTGTTTCCTTTGAAATCAAGTACAGTATTCAAGTAGAACCAGAGCTCTCCTTACTGCCACACCAAGTCATCTCTATTGGTTAAAATCAAGCCCCAAATATCTAATTCCGTAGTTTCTTCTTCTTGTTTTTGCAGGAGAAACTTATCAGCCACACAAGCCAGGACTATGGAAGGACCATATTTGACAGATTTGGCCTCTCAACAGATATCAGAAATCTCCCATTCCTACTCCATTGTCTCTCTCTGTAATTCCTGCAGTTTTTCCCCCAAAGTTTCACCCACATATTCTCTTGGGCAGTTGTTTATAAAACTCTTACGCAACTCTTCTATTGAAAGTAGTTCCCAGTTAAGATGGGGGAAAGCCAAATCTCAGGCTGTTCCAGTTAAGTAATAAGCATTTCAGCACATACTCCTAAGTCATATTTTTTTCTGGGCTGGTGTGGTATATGGGCAATCCTTCCCTCCCCTTTTCTGACCACCTCCAGTATTAACACCAAATCTGCAAAGAAGCCTCTATTCCCTTGCTAAAGCATCCAGCATCCTGAGCCGTCCTGGTTTAAAACTTTGTGGCATGAACCCAGCTGTCACTCCCAACTAGAGCAAGTCTACTGAATCCATGGTCTTTGCTTCAGTTTTGACTCAGCAACTGCTTCTGTGGTATCCTGGCGCTAGTTTCAGCTAAAGTAGATCCACTGAATCAATGGGGTTTACTTAAGTGTTGGCTCACTATTCAGCAGGTCTACTCTCCAGTTCAGGCAAGCCACAGGATAATGGCTGTATTTTTTCTTGTCAGGATAGCAAATGGACCTGTGCTATTAAGACTGTAAAGTAGATGTGAGAAGCTTGCGGTCCTGCAGCCATTACAGGATATCGACTCCCATTGGCCCAAATCTGCAGAACCAATGATCAGGCGTGATAGAAAGTCCCGTCCTGCTACAAAGGCAAAGCAGAAAGCAAGTAGTTATGACTCATGACTAGCTCTCTGGGACAGAGAACATTATGTGCAGTGGCCAATAGCTTCACAGAATAAACATCACAGTACCTTGTGATCCTGCTTCCTCTTCCCATTTCTCTGACATGCTTAGCAGGAGGAAACTTAGAGGGGGAAAAGGATACCATGCAAACCTCAAGAGGACACAGATGTTGCATTGGGGCTTGCCTCAGTACTGAATGTGTGTGTTTGTTTGCCGAGTACTGAAACCCTCCCATTTGGCTGTTTAATGCAGCACAAACCACTTGCCATAGCAGATTCCCAAGGGAGGCCATCATTTGTTGCTGAAGAACTAAGCTGTGCATCAAATGGGGACAAGATGCCAGCGCTGACAGCATGCCTCACTGCAATTAGACACAAAAGGACCAGAAGCGGCTCTCACAATAGAAATTAAGGACAGAAAAGGGAATGTCTGTTTTTGTTCTTTTATGTCATCAAATCACTTATTTATGGTGACTATGAATTAGTGAAGTCTAAAAGGGCCTGTCATGAACAGATCTGCTCACACCTTGAAAGCTCAAGCTTGTGACTTCCTTAAGTTAATCCAGCCTTCTTCTTCTCCTGACACCTTCCACTTTTCCCAACACTACTGCATTTGGCAGCATACCTGACATTCCTATGAGACTCTCAAAGGGAATGCTACCTTAGCTTTTAAAAAAAAGCATACCACACTATCTCCACTACTGGCTATTAGCTACAGAAAAAGGCATGGCCATGAAAGCAAGTTAGGACCAGCCTGGCCACAATGCAGGGTAAAGCAATCCCCCTCAGTGGTAAAGTGCTGGAGGGCAGAGTGGTGGGTGCCATACAGCTTCCCCCACATCCACTAAGCTAGCCCAGTGCTCTCAGGTGCAGTGGAAGAGGGATTCCTTTTGCTCCTCTCAAAGTTAGATTCAACTCCCAATTCATTCTGCTTCTGCCTAGAGAATGGGGAGGGAATGAAGGAACACCACAAATGTCCTTTGCATCAGGCCACACACTCTGAGGCCTGGTCTGAAGCTAACAGCCTGCTTGGCAGTTCTTGGAGAAAGTGGATGGGGTCTTCCTGCTTGCTTGCAGGGTGCACAGGAGACAGACCTGGTCCCTCTTCCACTCATTATATTCACACGGGTGGCAGACCAATTGTTTTACAGAACACAAGCAACCCAAGCAGTGCCAGCTCCAACAAGGCTTGAAGGAAGTTCTACAAAGCTAGACATCTTGTGGAAACTTGCTTTGAGAAGAGTTCAGGCACAAAATCATCCCAGTAGCCCAAATAGCCCTTTTGCTATGAATGTTTGGAGTGCCTGAGCAGAACACAGGGAACCAGAAGCCCACAGAAATAATTGCGAGACACCCAAGTTTACTACTGCTGGCAACGACACCACGGTTTGGATCCATTTCCTTCATGGTTGCAAGAGCTCCTTCTACCCGTGGCAGGATTGCATTCCGGCAGAGCACTTCTCTTGGCAGAACAGGAGAAGGCATTTCCAAAGGCATGGGGTGACTGCTGCCAACTGCCCCTGCACTTTTACAATTCCCTCCTACCCCCACTGGGAACCCTCTCTAGAAAAGCAGTGAAAGTGCTTCCAAAGACTCTGGAGTGAAGGGGTAACTGACAAATGTTTGTCCCCAAGACCATCTTTGTGCCAACAGGAGCCTTTTGAGCTGAACTCCACTGTTAGAAAACTCTTGTCCATGCAAAAGACGTTTAGCTGAACTCAAGGAAATTCAGCATTTGACTTCTTATAAATGCAGGAGGGCACAGTAGTTTTAATTTACATGCTAAAATAAACCAATAGGGATGTGCCATTTGGATTTTTTTGGACTTCAACTCCCAGAATTCCACAGGAAAAATGCTGGGAGTTCCAGCCAGAGCCACACCCACAAAGACCTGTATTTCACCCACCTGCAGTGCAGCTTTGTCTCAGAGCCTAGATGGCTCTCTCAAGCCTAGCTCCTTTTTAATGTTTCCTAAAGGAAGCTGTTGCAATACTTCCTGGGAGTGGTATCTTGCTGCCCTATAGCTTCTCTAGAGTGCACTTCTTCTCAAAGAACTACAATGCCCAAGAAGTACCGAGGCAGTTTCCTTTTCGGAACATTAACAACAGGAAGTGCACTCAAGACAACCATCCTGCCTCTGAGACAAAGCCCTGCTGCCAGTGAGTGAAATGCAGGTGGTAATTGTGGATCCATGATGTGGAGTTCCCAGAATTGTGCCTGAGGAATCTGTGGAGAATGCAGGCAGTAGGAATAGAAATGAATAAAAAAATAAAAATCCAAACAACACATCATTACTGATCAACCTCATGCTTCTGGTCATTACTATTATAATCATTTTTTAAAAGATGGATGCAGCTGCAGTAGTTTTCCAGTGGCCATTAAGAACTTCCATTTCTGCTTGGGAAATTCAGTCAAGTGTACCCCATTTTCTTATGTCCCTGTAAGGACAGAAATCCTAAACCCAGGCCAAAGGATGGGCATAAACTGCTGGTTTATCACCAAAAAAGGTGTTTGGCACTTCAAAGTCCCTCCTCCTCCAGCAGGGACCCAGAGGCCGCACCTAGAAGAGGCAGGCCAAGGAAGTGAAGCCAATGCCCCTAAGTGCCCCTCCAGGAAGAAGAGGGGCTTTGAAGAGCTGGACACCTGTTTGGCTGATAAACTGGCGGTTTGTGCCGATCTCTAAGCCGGCCCAAAGACTGATAATTCAAAGAGCATTTACAACATCTGCTAAATGACACTTGCAATAATTAATCATGACATAGTTAGAGATTGCTCAATTTAGGATGTACATTTTGGTGTTCTAGTTGAATGTTTTAGAGATACAGATTTTACATATGTCAGTTGGGAAAAATTTTGCTTTGCTCATTTACCAGAAGCTAAGATTTCTGAGAATTGTTTTAGAAAGACAATACAATAAATTACAATCAGCTTGAAGCCGTGTGGCCACAGTCTCCATCTTGGCTGCAGCCCTTATTTGCATGATGAGTTCAGCCAGTTTTATTGGTCGCATCAGCATCTGCTTGCCACACTTCGGGAGCTAGATATTACAGAACCATTTTGGAGCTTCCAGAAGAGATTTACATGTAGTAGGTCCACGGGCCAAACAACACAGGGTAGATTTGTTACCAGCCACATCTGTTGAACACTCTGGGATTTAAGAGGAACTGGGAACAGTTCACATTTGCAATTCAGAACTATTTTCTTTGCTGTCCAACGATTCTGTGTTCTCCCCGCATTCAAACCGCACAAAATCCAGCACAGATACACCAGAGGACTGAATGTACTGTCCCAAAGAAATAGAAGGGTCTAGAAGGAAAGGCTGGGCAAGCATCTTGGTTTCCGAATCGTCACCGGGTTCATCGTCCAGAGAGCCGACAGAGAGGGGGACCATGCCCACCACGTGCTGGCCCAGGCGCCAGCCTATTTCCACACAGTTTGATTTGGGCCCTTCCTCAGAGGTCTTGCAAATCACCAAGGCACCATATTTGCCGAACATCATGTTAGAAAGCAGAGGATTTCCTTGAGAGAGTGACCCGTGAACGTAAGAACCCACAAAGAAGCTCTCTGGCACAGATACCCACGCTGCCCTCTTCATCACTATGTTCTCGCCCATCTTGCCTTGAACATGAAACAAAAACAGCAGGGACAAAACATTACCACTATGGATTATGTGTAGCTACCGAAGGTCACACAGGACTGGGCTTTCCACAGGAAACGGTTTAACTTGGAAGAGGGAGGATGAGTGTATCAAGAGAGCTTCCTTCAAAAACATGCATCCTCAGAAGCTGAGGCCAACCCTCCCCAACACCATAAAACTGCCTGCCTCCAGAATACTCACCGATAGCCAGAGCCAGTTGGTCGCTAAGCAATGATCCCTCAGGCCCTGCCCTGAGCTGAGAAAGTTCATCTGATTTCAAGAAGCACTACAAAAACACAGTCAGAGAAACACAAGGTACATTTATTTTCTGGAAATAAATCTACTGTAGGTAGCAATTCTTTTCACCTGCATAGGTTGATTTTTAAACACCTCAGGTATTTAGAAACCAATCCAGACAATTAGGAAAACTAGGGGTGAAGAAAGCAGAAAGTGGAAGTCTGGCCTAACCATGTGGCATTAATTGCATTTCAATTTTTCTGTGTCCAGACTTGAAAACTTCAGTCTATAAGGTAATACCACTCGTATCACACAGATGCCACAGGACATGCAAAACTAGCACTTTAAAAATCTGCATCATCCTGACAGAGCACAGCATTCTTGTTTTGAAGATCTATTTTAGCATGAATTATTATACAGTGGTGCCTCGCATGACGACGTTAATTCGTTCCGCGAAAATCGCTGTAAAATGAAAACGTCATCATGCGATTTTAAAACCCATAGAAACGCATTAAAACCCGATTAATGCGTTCCTAGGGGCGTCAAACTCACCGTCCAGCGAAGATCCTCCATAGCGCGGCCATTTTCGCTGCCTGTGCAGTGAGGAATCCGTGCCAGAAAACAGCGGGCGGCCATTTTTTTTACCCGGCGGACATTTTGAAACCGCCGATCAGCTGTGTGAAAATCATCGCTTTGCGATTAACGGTTACCGAAACAGGGGACCGATCATTGCAAAGTGAAATTCCCCCATAGAGAACATTGTTTTGCAATCACAAAAACATCGACGTAAAGCAATTTCGTTGTCAAACAGAGCGTTTGTAATGCAAGGCACCACTGTATATCAAAGATATACATATACTGTAGTAAGAATTGGCTTGCCCCTGAAGTACACTGAGCAGGGAACTTCAGCTCAGTGTCACCTTCCGATTATGTGCTGTGCAAGACATGGACTCCCAAAACCAGGTCTCTTCAACATCTGGTGAAAAGCCCGAAGATTACCAAAGTCCTATCTGGCTTTCCCAGAACAAGTTTAAAAAAAAAAAACAGCACCAAATTGGCACAGTTGGATATTGGCTAAGAAGAAATTACATTATTGTTTCTGAGGAGAAAAAGGCCAGAAAAAGAAAAGGGAAGAAGCAGAAGGCGTCTCATTTGGAATCAATTACGAGGCAAAGGAGGCCTGAGATCAAACTAACCGCAATTTTGGCCATGCTGAAAAAATGCATTTCCACTTGGGAAAAGTGTTCCCTCATGCTATACCCAACACCATAAGGAAAACTGCACACATTTTGCCTGCAAATTGCCAGTCAATATTGAAGTGCTGGTTGCACCGATGGGCACGTCTCATATTCTCTTAATAGACTTATACTCTTTTTGCTGGATCACAGAAAAAAGATGTACGGTATATCCTTAGCACATAGTATCTCCATAAGTACAAATCTGAAGTCTTGTTCAATGGTTTATCTCAGACTATGGAACTCCCTTCCACAGAAAGCTAGGTTGGCCTTTTACCTGCTTTCTTTCTGCCTATAAACAAACCCCTTTCTCCTCATGCAAATCACTTGTTACTAGATGTGTTCCAGAAAAAGGCATTTTAACAGATGATTCTACACTTCTCCCCCCTCCCCCGTTCTTGACACATGAGCTTTGTTGTAAAAAAAAATTCTGTTAGGGTCTTTTTATATTATTATAAGTGTTACTGTTTTAACTTTATAATTTATGCACCACCACTACATCTGTATGCTGCTTGGAATGAAATGTGGAATGAAATAAATTATAACAACACACCAACTCAACTGCATTAATTATCCTGTCTGCAACCCACCCCAAAATATAGTTTGGCTCTCTCACTTTATCTAAGCCTAGACAGCTTTATTCAGCCATTCTTTGATTTGGTTCAAGCACTGCTGACAAAGGACACATTCTGGGAGCTGCCCCACGTTGTTAAGATTACTAAGTCTTTTATGACACTCTTACCTTGGCATATGTGCTTAACTGGTCTCTGGTCCCTTGGCAATGCAGCATTGCTCCAACTGCTACCTGTTGAACCAGGCGTTGAAACTGGACATTTCGGGCCACAAAATCAGTCTCACAGTTCACCTGGCAGAGAAGCACAGCTAGCTTTGAATTGCCTAGTCACCTGCGGCTACATTGTTTCAGAGCGTGGAAAAAGTATCAATTAGAGCAGGGGTCCCCAACCCCTGGTCCACGGCCCAGTGCCGGTCCGTGGGCTTCCTGGAACTGGGTGGCGGAGACGGATCTCCGACCCTCCCCACACACGCATGCATGGGTGGCGTGCTGTGCTCATGGGGGCGTGTTGTGCTTGTGGGGGCATGTCAGCCCCATGCGCATGTGCAACATGCCCCTCCGGTAGCGTGACACGCCTCTCTGCAAGCGTGGGGGTGCCACTGCCCCCACACACACATGGAGCCTGCACCCCACAACCAGTCCACAGCCCCAAAAAGGTTGGGGACTGGTGAATTAGAGGATGAGATCCTGTTTTGTTTCTTGAAGGCAGGAAAGACATCCAATTTTCAATGATGGTGCATTCTCTCATCATTTTCTTGTTCCCAAACATCAGGACAGATCTATTCAGTATTATGGCTCAAGTATTAGCACAGATTGCTTTACTGCTCCACAGGACAGATCTGTCTTCACTACGATGTGGCAAAACTTTTAAGAGCAATCTTTTAGCAGGGCAAACATCTGACATCAGATCCTTGTGTGTCCTTTCTTCTTTCAGAAATAACATGGAATCAAGATGTAATTATCAAGACAGAGGCAGACATACCTATCTTTTCTAGGCATTATGTGGGAAGCATATTTTGCCATATCAAGGAATTTTCTCAAAAACAGGAAAATCCTCACCTCCACCATCACTGCTGAGTTTTCATTCTTTAGCAATCCTATAAGCCCCTCCTGCGCCTTCCGACCTTGCAGTTCAGAAGCTCTGGTCCACCCCTCCTTTTGGGCTTGTTCATGCAGCCAGACCTCAGCCTTGAAAGACAAATCCACACCTCCGAAATGAGACACAATAGGTCAAGGACAACACAAAGGAGACAGCACACCTGCCAAAAGCATACAGTGTTCTGCCACTGCAGACTGTAATGGAGGACAGTTCTGAATAGATCTCAGGATCAAAGAGATCCTTCAAGTGGACATCCAGGGCTCCAGAGAAAAGGATCCCAGTGTAGCTTTCTTATTGACATGCTGATTTTCAAGATCCAGAGATACTTGGGCCATGGGTGGTAGAGTAAAATTCTTTTAATACTGTTTTCTGTCCTTGCTTCTCGCAGCATAAATACTAGATCATCAAGTGGCATTTTAAAAACTAGTAAGTAGAACTCTCCCCCAGCCCCAAACAGTTATTAGAGCATGTGGGTAATCAAAGTGCTGTATACTGTGTGAAAGACTCTAAGTATACATACATCACAGAAACAAAACTAATTAAACATGCTTACCTAAACTGAAATATACAAGTCTTACACCCACTGTTTCCTTGCAAGTCTATTCTATGTCAACTATAACAAATTTGCCAATCAAATTAGCTTCAGATTGTGGAAGATACTAGTCACCGTCTAATTCTAATAGCAGGCTGATGCAGTGACCTACTTTTGTTTGATATTACAAAATGACTCTTCTGCCTACCACTCACACAACTGTATCAAGTGGTCTTCAGAATGCCGTTTGGCAAGCGTTCAGTGTATCAGCAGTCAGCAGCTAGCTATTTGCCTAACACAATTCGTATGAACAAATGCATTTCATGATGCACATTATTCATATGAATCACAACTTGTACAGTGGTGCCCTGCATAGCAATGATAATCCGTTCTGAAAAAATCGTCGCTATGCGGGACTAAAAACCCCATAGAAACGCATTAAAACACGTTTAATGCGTTCCTATGGGGAAAAAACTCACCTTTGAGCGAAAATCCGCCATCCGGCTGGTGCCTTTAAAGGAGGCAACACAGTGGGCAGCCATTTTGGAACCGCCGATCAGTTGTGCTTCGGCTGCTCTCTCTCTCTCTCTCTCCACCCCTTGCAGGTCCAGCCTGGGCAGAGAGACCGAGGCACCCCGCCGCCATGGCCAGGGTGACTGAGTCTCCCTGCCCAGGCTGGAGTTGCGAGGGGACCATCTTTGCAAAAACAAAACAAACAAAAAAACCCCGCCCATCAGCTGTGCTTCGGGCTGGCTCTCTAGAGCTGATGGGCGGGGATTTGCAAAGATCACCGGGAAGCAAGCTTCGCAAACCCCCGCTGCCGCACGCTCTCTCTCTCTCTCTCCCCTTGCAGGTCCAGCCTAGGCAGGGAGACCGAGGCACTGCGCCGCTACGGCCAGGGTGGCGGCGGGGTGCCTCAGTCTCCCTGCCCAGGCTGGAGTTGCGAGGGGACCATCTTTGCAAAAACAAAACAAACAAAAAAACCCCGCCCATCAGCTCTAGAGAGCCAGCCCGAAGCACAGCTGATGGGCGGGAGGTTGCGAAGATTGCGGGAAGCCAGCTTTCCAAACCCCCGCCGACCAGCTGTACTTCAGGGCTCTCTCTCTCCACCCCGCATCACAGCTGATCAGCGGGGCCTTTGGGATGATCGTGGGAAGCGCTTCCCCACGATCATCATCGCAATGCGATGTTTAGCCTATTTAAACATCGCAATGCGAGCGGTTTTTTGATCGCAAAATCCGCATCGGGATACAGATTCATCATTAAACGGGCATTCGTTAAGCGAGGCACCACTGTATTGTGTTATTTTCCCATTTAACTCTTACACGGTAGGTTTTCTCCCCACTGGATTTCCTTGGCACTTCCACAGCAATTAATTTGCTACTGAATCATCTCCTACTTTGGGGAGAAATACAGGAGCAAGAAAAAGTGCTCTTTTCTTACACTATAAGAAAGTGCCCTTTTCTCCACACTATAAATATGTACTGCATAGGGCAGAACAAATTACCCTCCAGACACACTTACATGAAGATGCTTACTTAGCCCTGCTTACTGAAGAAATAAATCCTACTATGTTCAATGGAACTTACTCCCTTGTTGGAACAGCTATAATTGTGATTTTAAATAATATTTTTGTTTTCATAAGCCTTAAACCCTCCTTCAACACTTTAAATACCTGCGCAGAAAACAAGTGTTTGTTCTCACCTCTTTCAAGTCATCATTAAATTTCTTCAAAGCTTTCTTACAGTTCACAAAAGAGTAGCCAGTTTTCCTCCTAAGTTTCATGAGAAGTTCTTTTGCTACTAGTACAGGAGAGCCAGTATGTAGAAAATGAGCAAAATGCCAGCCAAATATCTACAAAGGAAAAACAGAGTGAAAGGGCTTAAAAGACAAATTGTCACCAATGACAAATCTGGGGTGGGTGGGAGATTTATCAAGCGAGGTCATGCACACACTTAGAGAAATACATACAAATGAAGTATCTGGGACTTTCCTCTAAGTAAATATATATGCCATCACTTTGGTGTGACACAACTACAACTGATTTACTGTGGAGCTCTGACATTATAATGTCAGGATAACATCAGAAACATGGGAGAAATGCTTGTGCTCTCCCCAAATCTGGAAAGAAATCTGGAAACCTAAGATGCACCCACCCAAGAACCTTCCTGATTCTCCCAGAAGGTTGTCTGACCTATTGCTGTGATGACAATCTGTTGTCCCTTTCTTTAGCTGTGAAAGTGGGTGGGGCCTACACTTCACAAGGTGCTGGATTTTGAACATAAAATACAGTATCAGAATATCCCACACCAATCCTCAAGGCAGAGGACAGAATACAGGGATGTGGCAAGAACGAATTTCTGCTGGTTAACCATAGCGAACCAAGACCTATTGAACCCTGAATGTTCGTACTACAGTATATTATTACAAAGGAACAGAATTGAAGATTCATAAGCAGGACTAGCTATTTCATGTAAACATAGGATCAAGTGAAGCAAAGCAAAGTGGGAAATTTGCTGCCCTCCAGGTTCCACTGGCTCTGCTGGCTGAGAACTACCATCCAAAATTTTGGAGGAAAAAAAATCTCTCTTCTACTCTAACCTAAACTGTCAACAAAGACTTTAATAGCACAGATTCAAGATCTCTCCGTACCCCCCAAAAAACACCAGACCATATCAGAAGTCTTCACAAAACTGAAACAGCAACTGAAGAGACAAGCGGAAATTAAGATTCCATCAACAAGAGATAATTCAAGACAGCTATTGTACAACTTCAAAAGGCACATGCTGCAACACACAAGGGAAACATATGTTCAGCTTTTAACATGCCGCAGGAATCTGTGGTTATTTGCTGCAAAACAAGAGATAATTCAAGACAGCTATTGTAGAACTTCAAAAGGCACATACTGCAACACACAAGGGAAACATATGCTCAGCTTTTAACGTGCCGCAGGAATCTGTGGTTATTTGCTACAAAAGACAAACATGGCTGCCCCTTTGGAAATTAGTCAGCAACCTCATCATCGCTGATGTGAGCAGGAACAAATAAGAGGAGCTTGAGACTGCACGCAGTAGCACAAGAGCACCTTCCTAAAATTCACCAACTACAGAGCTTCAGATCTGGGACTGTCATATAAAAACCAAAAGTGCTGTCAGCCGTATCCTTTCATTGCTCCCCAGAAACATAAAATGAATAGCAGTGACTGAAAAGAATGGGGTTTTATAATGGCTTTCTACATTCAGGGAATCTTTTCCACATGATCTCATCTGATGTCAGACGTGAGATGACAAATAAACTGAAACCCATTGCCCAAAGGACTCTTTGAACACTCTGTCTCTGTTGGTGTGAACCAGGCCCTCCCCCACACTGAGCTTCCATCTTCCACTAAGAAACACCACAATAACAGACAGGATTCAGCTGGATCAAGGTGTGTGCGTCGCAAATTTGTAGGAATTGGCTTGAAAGGCCACCAGAAAGTCATCCCTACATTATAATCAGAAATACAGATGGGACTAAGAGGTGTAATGAAAACCCTTGATCCTAGATAGGCTGGATTCATTAGCAAATAAGACCAAGAACCCAAAATTCACCACATCAACTCTGTATTTAGAGGATTCAACATTCTCTATGATTATGAAAACTATATTCAAGCTGTGTGGGGAAGACGCCTGTATTTATTAGGAACCACGGGTGGATGTGTTCCTTATCCTGATGCAAGCAACATAGCTTGGGTACTGGGACCTGGTGCAGAGTAGAAACTTCAAGAAGCAATGGACTGTGAAAGGAAAGAACCTAATCCCAACCCAACATTATCCCCAACCCAAACTATAGCCCTATTCCAATCCATATCCCTAACTCCAACCTTACCCCTACCCCTAATTACAACTTTACTCCTAGTGTAACCCCAACTCCAACTTTACCCTACCCCAAACCGGATCCTAACCATAATCCCAACCTTACCCCAATCCTAACACTAACTCAACCTAACCCCAAAGCAACTTTACCCTAGTCCCTAACCTTCCCGCCCTAGCCCCAGCCATAACATTGCGGGCGCTACCAGAGGCTGTTCTAGGGGGCATATTCGAAGTGACCGGGGCTTCTCGCCAGTCCCACCATCTCACGGCAACTGCACAAAGAATGTCTCCCAGAATCCTCCCAAAGCAGCGTAAAAGGCGGCTTCCGAGAATAGACCAGCAGCCTTTCAGGGCAGCCGTACTCAGTTTAGAAGATTAACACGACAACGTATCCAGGAACACAAAAGCCCCTAAGTTTTACCGGAGCGCCTCTTCTCCAAGAAGAGAGCACCGCTTGACCCACGCCCGCCATCCGCTGCATCTTTAAGGCGCTTGCATTAGACGTCACAACCTTCGACCGGGAACCTATGAGAGACTCCTTCCCTCGCCCTCTTTTCCACGAAGTGGATTGGCCCGAACTGACCCAGGCTTTTCATTGGTTGTAGGAGCAGAGAAAAGACCGCGACGAACACTTACCATAGAGACCATACAATCGGCCTCGCCTTTTAAGGGGGCCGCAACACTCTATGGTTTTTGCGAGGGACATGGAGGCCCCGCCCTCCGAAGCGACCCGGAGGACGCTCTGGAGTCGTTCTTGGAGGCTGGTGGGCGCCTCTGGCCGTTTTTTTATATTCCATTTACGGGAGGCAAGGAGGGCGGACAGACCCGGGAGAAAATTAAAAGGAAGGTGCCTTAAAAAAGCCAGGCAATGAAAGACATCTACAATAATAAAGCTGGCTGGACAACTCAGTACTGTAGCCTAGATAGTATCTGGTTGCGGAGCTAGAGGTTGGGAGTTCAGTTCTACCCTGGGGCGCCTGTTAAATGAGCCAGCCTGTGTGGCCTTTGGGGAAGCTGCACAGTCCCAGGGAGACCCCAGAGGAGGGGAAGAATAAGACACTTCTGGGTACCCTCTATCTGCAAAACCTTAGAAAGGGTCGCCACAGGTTGATGGCACACAGTTACTATTATCTTAAAATAGAAATTAATCAAGAAAACAACCCAAGACCAAATACTGTACAGTATAAGCTTTCCTGCTTAGTGCACTGTCTTTCACAAATCATACTATGTCTATATACATTGTAGAGCTGACTGTACGTTAAAGTACAGCTATACTCAGCTTCAGATTTTTATTCCTGGCTTAGACGGTAGTGTGGTTGATGCCACACAAATGTGTGAAGTGCTAAAGGCTGATCTGTAGAGCAGAGATGGGGAATATTAACCTCAAGGTCTTGCCGGATGACAACCCATCACCATTTACTATGAGGGCTAGGGTTCATGGAAGTTGTTATTCAGCCTAATGTGGGCTATTAATTTCTAAATATGAGGCTCTCATAGGTATCTCCCCAAAGCCCTGACCATTGGCTGTGCCAACTAGAGCTTCTGGGAATTGTGATGTGAAAGCATTGATCTGGAAAAATAGGCATTCCATACTTCTGCTGCAAGAACTGAAAGAACACTAAGTATGTGAAGCTATTAAATGAGCTTTTCAAGAGAAAGGGGATATTGCAAATGGTTCATACCACAATGCTTTATGAGGATTCTTTGCACATTTCTAGCCTTAGGCTGTGTCAGACCCATGAAAACCCAGTTACAGTGCACTCCCTAACCAGTGCGTAAAAGTATGGGCCAGGAAAACTCTTAAAACAGCCCTCAGATTAAGAATGAACTCATTCATGGCCTAGGTGCACCATACTCCCTCCTGTCCAATAAGATAACCCTAATGACCAATGCTATAAAATAGGAGAAAGCCTTTGACAATTTTAAAAGGATACTGTAATTAATTCATAATAAAACAACTAGCCACTGACAGTACAGTCACCAATAAGGAAAGAACAAAGTAGTACATAAAGACTTCCCCACAGCCATCCATTTATTTGAGAAGCACAATTCTAGTATTCTCTCAGAACCATGGAAGCAGGGTATTTTCACATACAATGCACTGTAGAAAAGGAGCCACAAGAGAATATTGCTTGCAACAGTTTATATAATTAATGTTGAATGAAACTTCATCCAAAGCATTCATGTACATAGCTTTCTTAAGATGTCATACATACTGAACTGAAAGCTGAGTCCCTAGAAGTTAAGAATGAGATAATACATTGTTTTGAAAGAGAAATACATAGTGGCTAGGCACACACAATTTAATGTTGAGTCTTATTTTTAAATAACACCCTTGCAGAAATATTATATCCCTATTTTTATAAAGACACAAAATGCTTACGAAAAAGTATCTCTCAAAAGGAGAAAAGGCATTATGGTTAAAAGGCAGTTCGGTAAACCTTGGATTCCTTGTCTTTTGTTTCATTTAATGGTCTATTTTTGAGCAAGGACAGCATTAGAGGTAAATCTGGGTGACTAGACAACTGAGCTATCTCAGGCTGGATTGGTCTTTCCAAATCCAAGTGGATTCTACGGGGGGGGGGAGGGGAGGACAAAATCAGAAGACGTGGGGAGTGTTCCTACTACATATAGTAATGCAAGCATCCAGCTGACCATGTCACCATCACCCTAAGGATGCACCCACCAGTGCCACTTTGGTTCCATACTAGTGATCACAGAGGCTAGGAACTAAACTAAAACAGAGTGATTTGACTCATGTTAAAAAAACACCAGTTATCTCCTGCCGCTGATCCAAAAGTGCTGATAGCATAGAAAAGGATCTGGCTGAATCATGATTATCTGTACATTTTGTAGTCACTGATGATCAGATCAAATCTGACCACTCAAATGGGGACAAAATGTGTAATAAATTGTAATGTGGCTGCCCCCTTTGTTATTTTTTTTAAATAAGTTCCAGTAGAACAGCAAGGAAATTGGAGGAGGCTCATTTGAATAAATGGAACATACGAAGGAGTTAACTCACCAAATATCCCCTAATTCAATAAGCCTACTCTTGTGCTACTTGCTACTCCAACCAATAGAATTTTAGCCATCAACATCCACTGGTAGGCATTGCACAGTAGCTAGCATGAACTGGTGGTTGCCCATTAAGACTTTTGCATTAGTAAATCTTCAAAAAAAAAAAAAAAGACAACCACAAAAGGCACATTTTATATGTTGAACAGTGAAACTCACTGCTCAATGCTATTTTTCTTGGTCACTTTGAAGATGTTAATATTCTCAACCTCATCCCTAAATGCCAAGGTAGAGCTGAAGTGCATTGGAAGCAGCGTCTCAAAAAACAGTGAAGTACTGTGTTCCTGTCTCATTTTGGAAGACAGATAGATAGTAGACTGATCACCACATAGATGCTGGAGAGTCCTGATCAGCAAGGGGTACGTATCCTTGAGATAGACAATGTCTGCACCCAAAATGAAGTCATAATTTTGGGGAAACTCCTTGTGGTCCAGACCCCATGATAGAGCACAAACTCTGGTTCGAGCCATGCACTTCCCAGGCAAGTTCCGGTGGACATTCTCCTCTATTTGCTTCAAGGCCACAGGAAGATCTGTGATGGTCACATCACCCCCTGGAAGAAAAGGAGAGAAGACATTACTTGACCCTTCAACTCACACCGTAGGTATTACTCATGCACAACCACATGTTCCAAAACATTCTGGGCATCTAGCCAAGCTGATGGCATTTTTATTTAACTATTATAACTCATCTGCTTTTAAACAACAGAGTAACAGCACAGAGATAAGAGCCAAACAGTTATACAAGCGATGGGGAACCTATAGCACTCTTAAACTACAATGCCCATCTACGGCCATCGGCTATGCTGGCTGAAATAAATGGGTTTAGAGTCCAAAATCTGAAAGGAGGTGAGTTCCCTACATGATTTATGCCTTGAACTATTTTCCCTGTCCCACCCTCATATTATATTCAAGAAATAAGATGCATGTGTATTTATATGAAGCTTGGTACACAACCATTAGTCCCAAGGACTGCAAATAACATTTTTGTTAACACTCCAAACTTTTGATGGAAGCAAATTCTAGGTTTTTGAAGAATTGGCAGCTTTCTTAAGAGGAAAAAATATGGCAGGAGAATGGGAAGGACATGGGACAAAGGACTATGAATACAAACAGTCATACTGCATGGAGCATTTTATATTAGGTGCCAAATTTCATGGAGACAGACCTGAATGAACTATTCAGACTCCCAAATATCAGCAGTAATAGATTATCCTTGAACAACCAAAGTGATGCCTTTTTCCAAGCATGCAGACAAATGTAACTCCTATTCTGTCCATTTGAACATCATCTACACCAGTGCTGGACACTTTGTGGTCTTTCAAATGTTGGGCTTTAACTCCCATCATCTTTCATCACCAATTAGAGCAACTAGAGCTTATGGGAGCTGCAATCCAAGAATATATGGGAGGGGGTACAAAATGCCCATTGTTGTTCAGAATGCTACAAGGTAGCCAGATTGTCACTCTAATACCGTCTTTTATTTCACAAACTCTGCAGTAGTCAGTGTTAAAGGTGGCTACAGCACACATTGCTTTTTCTTTGAAACAAAGCTAGATGTTGATGGAATCTCAGTGGGAGGCTTCCCTCTGCCTGAAGTTGCACAAATTATCATTCCCATCCCTTTTGCACAGGTGGTTCTGCGTACCAAGGAGAGATACAATAATGCCCACCATGCCTGTCCCAGCACCAAGTTCTATGACCTTCTTGCCCCAAAAGTTCAGCTTCTGTGCCTCGAAGTATTCACAGAGAGTTAAAGCCTTAGAAAAAGAGAGAAACACAGGGTAGTGTGATAGATCTAAATTATACAGTCAGCACATCAGCAAATATATACAAGAACTCTCACAGTGCAAGATCATTTTTGACAACATGGCTATTTTGCAATGGCCTGTGATAAATATGTGCACCTATATGGGCAGCAAACAATTGCTTACATTCTTCTGAAAGAAGCAAACTGCTGTTCAAAACCAAAGGGCCTACAAAGACATACATCCTCTCTCTCCTTATCTGCCAGTCTCTACAAAGGACAACCAAAAGACAGCTGTCCTTCTTTTAGAGGAATTAAACAGTGCTTTCAATTTTTATATGTAAAAAAATAAAATGCATGTAACTTTTCTTGCTAGGATTTATTGCCTCCAATATCCTTTGAACATCTTTCATCCTACCCCTACTCTTTCTTATGTTGATCAATACCTCTTCCAGACTTTGAACATGTACATCTTTCTTCTATACAAGCTCTCTGTTGCCAGAGAGACAATATCTTAGGATCTTTACGAACATACTTTGCAAACTGATCTGTCATTTGGGTATTCTCAACTCCATCTTCATATGCCACAAACTATTAGGTGTCTCTTTCCGATTCCTTCCTGTCTTTCTCCTTGAAAGACAAGTTAATCAGAAATGATGAGAAGGATTCTATGTCTGTGGTCAAGGGGAGCTACTATCAACTAAAGCAGAAAGTAGACACAAATTTCCTGGTTTCTTACATGAGTAATCTGACCTGATCTAAGGCAAGCTTGCATTAAATGGCTCATGTAAAGATCTTCACTTGTGTGGAACATACAGAATATGATGTAAAAGAAACTCTAGTTTACTGCTGTGAACATTTTAACACCTAAATTTCTTTTTTTCTCAACACTGCTTTGTATGCAGTTGCTACAACGATTGTGCATACATTTCAGCTCTAGCAGATGTTTGGACTGTACAGGTACATCCTTCTGACCCCAGGGTTTATAAACACATAGACTTTCCAAGGCAGGGAAGCATTTCTGGAACGTCATAAAACGAATTTCTATCCATTACAACCCTGTTACTCTTTAAGATGACACAAAACTTCCATGTTTTCACCATCTGGAAGCACAAAACAGGTGCAGTTCCGTCTACCTGCCCTAACAGCCTAAGGATCCCACACTGAACCAACTCTACTGCCTATTTCGGGACTTCATGCCACCCGAGCTCACCGCCTCCCAGACCGGGGCAGCGACACCCAGCCGTGCCCCGTAATACTGAGCAATGCTCAGCTCGTGTCCGCACAGCCTGTAACGGGTCTCCACGGGGAAAGCGTCAGAGAACAGGCCGATCTCCTGCGGAAACACCGACGCCAGCCCCACTTCCACGTCGCCCGCACTTGTGGGCGCCGCCATTTTGCCGGAAAGGTATTATTTTTCCTGGGGAGGGCGGTGCCTTTTGGGAGCGGAGCCGAATTGGTCGGGGAGGCCTCCTTCTCGCTGATTGGACAGCCGCCGGGGATCCCTGGACGCAGAAGGTTGGCCCGAACCCCTGGCTCTCCAGGTGATTGGTTTGGTGAGACGAGGAGACTCCGTATTGAAACGGGATCTGTTTACTGCGGGCTACTTAACGCGGGAAAACTGTCACCAGTTTATTTGTGTTATATATGCAGTACTGAGCACGGTGCTCGTAGCTGGGCCAGTGAAAAAAGCCTATTTTTCTGTTATAGGTCGCTTCCAATGCCATTACTCTAGGATTCTCCCAGTGGAAATGTAATATAAAAGCTAAGCTTACTTCTATAATTTGCCTTGAAATAAACAGAACAAGCTACACAGAACTTAAGGCTTCAATTGTACGTGTACTTGAAATCAGTGAAGTTTACTCAGTAAATGTACCCTGCTCATGTGCTTTTCAAGTGTGTTGAACACTTATATATAGTAAGAGTTATAACAGCAAACATAGTCTAATGATGTAAGCCACCTTGGGTCCTTTTTAAGGAGAAAGGTGGGGTAAAAAAAATTAAATTTAGAATGGTGGGGTTCCCTGTTGGAGACGCTGAGTAAAAGGTGCTGTGATGGCCCCTTTTATTTTTAATGGGCTGGCACAAGCACAGATGCCCATCAGCAGTGCTGGGTAGCTGAGGGTGCTATTTGTGTTCTGGAAGGCTTTCATGGCTAGGATCCAATTGTGGGTTTCCCAGGCTGTTTTTCAGAACAGGGCCAAAGAGCCCCAAAAACCCACAACAACCATTTGTCTTTCAATACCACATGGCAATGGTTTATTATTGTTCCTGATTTGTTTACAATATATTTTATATTGCCTTTTTAAAAAAGAAACATTTAAGAAAATTAAGCATAATAAGGATAAGTAAACCACTAAGAACAGTGCAAGCTTGTGCAAGCCTATTCAGCCTTCTCTGCCATAACACTTGCATACCTCATCTCAAAGCAAGGATCCTCCCCCACATTTGTACAAATTTAACAGCTCCACTGTCTTACTTTAAACCTAAAAAGCAACCTTTAAACATTGTGAGCACTGTGTTTTGCATAAAGACACATGCCATCAGTTCTCACTCCGCCACAGCTACACAAAATATCTCACCACAAGCTTGCCCAAAGGTCTTGCAACTTTCACTCCCTCCTTATTCTTTATCATCATTCCTTCTGTTTGGCTAGTTAAACAGTGACACCATTGCATGTTGATCTGAGGTCCATTTCCCTAAACGATCTGAAGGGCATCCATTCCGCCCTGACCCGTCTCCACTGACTTCGTAAGACTGGGGTTTAAGGGCAAAGAAAGGAAGTTATTCCCACATTCCCAGAGAGAGCAATAAGTCATCTGTTACTGTCTGCTGAGCTTTTAAGAATGAGGCCATCCATTGACGCACAACATGGTTAAATGTTAGCTTGGCACAACTTGCAAATGGAGAAGACATCATCATTTGTTTGGGTGATCGAGTTAGGACACTTAATGGAACTCAATGGAGAGTTAAAGATTAAAAGGTGTAGCTTAAATAACTTTTGTTTAATCTGATTTGTTTGTAGATTCATAGCATTTTGTTTTTTACAACTGTTTATAAAATGCATTTCCTTCTGTATCATTCAAAGGAAACAGGTTGTTTTTATCTGGATTGGGTTTGTTTGTTTGTTTTTATTCTGAAGCTGAGTGCTCATTTGCAAAAAGAACCCAGAGGCAACTCCTCTTTTTTAAGGTATTTTAAGGGAATGGGAAACCACTTCTGAGTACAGTACTGTATTCTCTACTTGGAAAACCCTGAAAAGGGGCACCATAAGTCATAATTGGCTTGACAGCACATGATTATTATGTTTGACTCTAGTTGTGCATAATGAGAACAGACACACTAGACAGATTTTTAAAAATATAATCCTTGTGAGGTAATTCTGGTTCTAAAATTCAGTCTATAATAATCATGCTAATAGCCTCCTACTCCAGTGGGTCCCTGGGTACAGAGAAGGCCTTTGTAATTCTACTAGTCAAGGAGAAGCTCCGATGTACTGAGGATTTGCAGGTGCTTTTTAAATCACAAGCCTCTAACCCAGGGGTCTCAAACATGCGGCCTGGGGGCCATTTGCCTTGCCTTCCCCCCGAAGCGCCCATGTGTCCTCTGCTGTGAAGAGTCAAAAAAAGCCTTGCCTCGCTCGCCAGCTCTCCCCCAAGACAGTGCCTCTTGCACCCTCCATCCAGAACTGCAGCCTGCCAGCAAGCCTGCCTGTCTGCTGGCTGGCAGGCTGCAGTTCTGGATGAGGGTACAAGAGGCGCTGTCTTGGGGGAGAGCTGGCGAATGAGGCAGGCTGCCGCCCCTTTCCCCTGAGCGCCTGAGCTGCCGCCGAGCGATGCCTGAGAGCGTAGCTTGCTCCCAGCCTGTCCTCGAAGAACGCCTCCAACAGCGCCGCCAGCAGCAGCAGCTGCCGCCGCCACCTCTTCCAGGGAAGCAGCTCTCTGGCTCTCTTTCTCTCTTGGCACCCCCAGCACCAGCCCGGCCAGCAGCTGCCTCAACACCCAGCGGTGCTTCCTCCTCCTTCTCCTCTTCGTCCTGCTTCAGCCGCCTTGGCTCTGGAGGCTGCCTGGACTCACCTCGCAAAGTTTGCTCCTCTGTCATGGTGGGGGTAGCCGCTGCTGCTGAGTGCGCCTTTTTTTGAGGGGGCCCCTCAGAGGAACATTGCTGGACCTCGGTGTGGGTGTATGTGCATGCGTGCGCGCCCCTGCGCACCTGTGGGTGCGCCCCCATTCTGTTTAATTTTGTGGGTACCGATGGGGGCTTTTCTCCTTTGGCAAGGCGATTCTGTGAGGGTTTTTTTTAAAAAAAATGTTGTGCCCTCCTTCACCCTCCCGGCTAGGCAGTTGCCAGCACTCCCTTCTCCGCTTCTTCGTCCTGCTGCTGCTGGTGGTAGTGAAGAAGGAGCCGGAGGGGGTTGTGGCCAGTGACGATGGCTTGTGCGCCCCTCTTCCTCCTCCTCCTCCTCCGAGTCTGAGCAGGGCTAAGGAAACTTCTGGGCGTCTTCTTGGGGCTCTTGCTCTGCTTGGTGGAAAATCTGATGTGGCCCAGCCTCACCCAGACTCTGCCTCCAGCGGCCCCCAGGTAAATTGAGTTTGAGACCCCTGCTCTAACCATTCTCTCTCTGGCATGCTGTACATTATTGCTGAATTGCCCTTTTTTGTTGCATAATTTAATCAGTTCTTTCTCTAACAGAGTAGTGGGCTTTGTCTGACAATCCAGGTAAAAGAAGATTGTAAGTCTTAATTACATGTTCATGTTCTTTAGCAGTGAAATAGTGTTGTCATGCACCAAGTCACTATCAAGTAAATAATACTGTGTATTATGTGCCATCAAGTTGGAATTGACTTACAGTGACCCAAACATGGCTTTCAAGACATGTAAGGCATTTCAGAAATAGTTTTACCAGTTCCATCACCACCAGTAAGCTTCCATGGCTAAGTGAGGATTTGAACCCAGGTCTCTTGAGTCCTAATCTGTATCCATACTGGGTATCAAGTACTACTACTTTACAATAAAAGAAGGAAAAGAAAACAGCTTATGCAAATAAACTAATAAGCCACTTGCCTCACCAGCTACAGGGAAAAGGAATAAATTGTGGATTTACTGATTACTGTATTTTATCAGTAATGATGGATAGGGCTGCATGATATGGGAGGTGATTAGAGGCAGAAGCTGAAGGGAGGAAGCTTTTAACTGAAATTACAGGAGACCAGTAGTGACACCTCGTTAGATTAGGTTCTCATTTTGACAGCAACAGTTTCGTCGTGTCTTCATAACATCCTTTCCATAGTTGCACTCTGTAAATAGCATGTAGATCAGTGGTTCTTAACCTTTGTTACTCGGATGTTTTTGAACTGCAACTCCCAGAAACCCCAGCCAGCACAGTTGGTGGTGAAGGCTTCTGGGAGTTGCAGTCCAAAACTCCTGAGTAACCCAAGGTTAAGAACCAGTGATGTAGATGACTGAAAGCCAGTGAGCGCAAACCCCACCAAGAAAATGGATGTTTTCAGTTGCTTGTGGTGGCACCTGAAACCCTACGTACTACTTCATTGTCTGTAGAGCAAGGTCTGCATGTTCTGTTGAAGTTTTATTTGCAACCTTGCACGTTATAGTTTGTGTGACTAGCAGGGACTTTTCTGGGCTGGGGTGATTGTCCAACACTAACCAATCATTCCTTCCAGCCTTTGATTTGAATGAGTGTCCCACCTTTCTACTGAGTGCTCTTTTCCTCTCTTTAGAACTGTTGACGACAATTGTTTCTTTGCTGTTGACCTGTTCAATTGGTTGCTAAGTATGTGTGGAGTAAAGATCACAAAATACACAAGTATGTAATTTCAAGCAACTATAAATAATATTTTTAATTCTTTCTTGTACAGATGTCTCAGAGTGAGTTATTTAAGTGCCAGTTCAAGAGAAAGAGGTGGACTGTTTGGAATTTGTGGCTATTTTCCTCTGCGGATCTGTTAACTTCTATTGTGTAGCAAAAGGAATTTTAAAAGAAATTCAGAACTTTGCAACATGTTCATCCATCCACATATTTTCAAAGAGCAAGAAGCCACCAAATTCAGAAAGACAATTATTCTTTAACTACTGTCCTTCCAGTTTCCTGCTGCAGTATCCAAATCTTTCTTCGCTCTTTGTCAATGTGCGTCAAAGCCACAGGTCACCAGAATTTACTGAACCAGATCTTTGGCCGTTAACTATCTCAAGATGATTTCCTCAGGCTAATATATGATACTGTGAAGCGTGGAGAAGGATCACTGACTTGGTACTGGTGGACTTTGAGTAACAGAGGACAATAAATACCTTTAGCGTACAGTAGCTTTGTAAATACTACAGGTGACCCATTGGAGTTTATAAAAAATGAACTCTGAAAATAATCGGGTCTCAAAATGTTGTAGTTTTCTGATGTAATTCTGTTTCTTGCGGTTTCAAGTAGAACTAAGATTCTACTGTA